AAAGAAAGAAAGAAAGAAAGAAAGAAAGAAAGAAAGAAAGAAAGAAAGAAAGAAAGAAAAGTGTATTCTGGTCCTTGTACTATAATGTGGTAATATGTTTATGTATATAGAGATCCTTGTACACTTGAACACATGTATATATCTTTTGCACTTTTTTGCCCCAAGTGTACATACTTCAAATAGTGTTTGTTTTCTTGTTTCCAGTGAGTAAATGGTGAATGTCTTTTAGGTCCTTAAAGGTCTTCTGCCTCATGGTTTTCAGTGCCATGATAGCCTTATTATGTAACTCATTTTTTTTTGATGGAAAAAAGTAAAAATTTCATAACAAAATATCAGGTGAATTGGCCCAGCACAGCGCGGTGCTGTGCTGCAGTGTGGCTCAGGCTGGCGGAGGTGCTGGTGGCCCACGCGCTGCGGGTGCCAGAGCAGGCCAACCCCTTCTTTGTGCTGCAAAGGCACTGGAGCCACGACAAGGGTAGCAGCCTCACAGGTCTTCTCGTGAGCACCCCTGGATGTGATGCTGGACTCCAGCGCCTGCATGGCCCCCCACTGCATCCTCCACCAGACCCAGGACGTGCAGGTCTGCTGGACTGTGCCATGCAGTTGATGCGCTTGGGCTTCATCATGCAAGGATTCTTACTTGCAAGTTTGTCCACTCGTTAACATTTCCTGGCAACTCATGTCAGTGTCCAGCCTTGCCCTGCTTGTGTCTCTGATGGGACCGGGGTTAGTCACCGTGGTGCAGGTCTGCCTCTGTGTTTCAGGTCACGAACAGGTGTCCTTCTCACTGCCCATTTAGTGATGAGCTCTTGTATCTTTGTGGTTTTTGATCATGACTTCACTAATTAAAGTGGTCCCCAAGGAAAAATAATAATAATAATAACAACAACAATAATAATAAGAGGAGACTAACAATAGTTAATACACTGAGTATTGTTACCTTTAAAGTAGTGACTCAGAGTACAAGATACGGGCATAAAAAATTCTCCAAATGATATTAGCGCAAACCTTTCTTTTCAATGAACTAAGAGAAACTAATAGTATAACTATCTTGTATTTTTTTTCTTTTCCCCTCCTTCCTTTCCCTTTCCCTTATCCTAGTTCCTTTTTCCTTTTGAATAATTTCTTCCCATTTCACAATATCTGTTGTACATTTTGGACCTTGTTTACTCTTTCAGTTACTTCTACAGGGGAGACAATATGATGCTTTTTTTGTTTTGTTTTGTTTTTGTTTGCTTTGAATATGATGCTTAAGGTTGTGAGTGTGATTTATTTCACTTGAGTATAGTCTCAAGTCTCAAGTTTATCCTTTTTAATGGCTGGGTAGTACTCCATTGTATAAAAAGACCACATCTTTTTTATCCATTCCTCAGTTGACGAGCATTTTGGTTGTTTCCAAGATTTAGCTTTTACAAATTGTGCTGCTTTAAACATGGGTGCACATATATTGCTGTGGTCTGATGCTAGCCCATTACGTTTATTGGGCATTGTCTTGGTTACTTTTCTCTTGTTGCTGAGACAAAATACCCAATGCCCAAAATTTAAGGAAGGAAAGGTTTAAGAAAAAGAGAGAGGCAGCCAGGCGTGGTGGTGCACGCCTGTAATCCCAGCACTCAGGAGGCTGAGACAGGAGGATTACTGTGAGTTTGAGGTCAGCCTGGGCTACAAAGTGTGTTCAAGGCCAGCCTCAACTGCATAGCAAGATCCGTCTCAAAAAAAAGGCGGCGGGGGTGGGGGGGTGCTGGGGATACAGCTCAGCAGCACAAGCGCCTGCCTGGCAAGCGCTAGGTCCTGCATTCGATTCCCGGTACAAAAACAAAAAACAAGGAAAGGTTTATTTAGCTCACATTCTGTGGAGGTTTCAGGCCATAATCTGCTGGCTCCAAACCAGGATGGCATGGCATAGGGGCAGCAGTCCAAGGCGGCAGAAGACAGCAAAAACAGCAAGAACAAAAGGAGGGGAACAAGCCTGTTTTCCTCCCTTATATTATAAACAGGCTCCCCCCACCCAGGGGGCGTGTAGCTCTCACATCATCTCTCCGCCCTCCTCCTGCACAGGCTCAGGATGATACAGAGTGAGGACCTGCTCTGCTCCATCACTTAGTTAAACTTCTCAAGTTGACACAGTGAACAACATTGCAGAGCTAAGGGTGTGTCCTTCTCACCCCAGGATGGAGAACTGCGGAGTGACTTAGCCAAGCCTCTAGACTCAACTATAACAGACATCTGGATATTTTCCAGTTTTTTCATACTTTTGTCAGTATTAAAAGTAAGTATGGGCTGGGGATATAGCTGAGTGGCACAAGCGCCTGGCTGGAAAGTGCAAGATCCTGAGTTCAATTCCCAGGATCCCCTCACCCCAAAAAAGTAAGTATCTTTAGCTTGATGTGGTGGCACAGACCTATAATCCCAGCACTCAAGAAGCTGAGACAGAATCACTGCAAATTCAATGCCAACCTGGGCTGTATAGTTCAAGAACAGCCTTAACTAGCAAGCCCCCCTCCAAAAAAGAACAAGACTCTTTTTAGTCTGTGTTGTTCTTTCTCCTTCTTCTTGTATTTTTTTTTATTATTTTAAAAAGAAGAGAAAAACATAAAGGCAAAAACAAAGCAATAAAAATTATATAGAATTTCAAAACAAGGTGATAGGAAATTAACAATAGTTGTTATAACACATATTGTTATCTTCAAAGTAGTTGCTCAGATCATCTTGTATTATTTTTGTTTTGCTTTTTGAGACAGGTTCTCACTATGTCATTTAGGCTGGCCTTGAACTCACTATGTAACCCCAGGCTGGCCTTGAATTTGTAGCGATCCTCCTACTTCAGCCTCCTGAGTGCTGGGATTAATTTCTTTTTCTTTGTATACTGTTTTTTGCTTTCCATTCTTTTCTTTGCCATATAATACAAAACCATGAAGGTTTATGTTGTTTGTGCTTCAGTCTCCCAGGGTTACTAGGAAAGAATGTAGCAGAAGAATTTTAACCCTAATTTACCTACCTTTTTTTAGAGAAGGTCTTGCTATATAGTCCAGGCCAGCCTTTAGCTCACTGCATACCTCAGGGCAGCTTCAAAGTTATCACGATCCTTCTGCCTCAGCCTCCAAAGTGCTAGGATTACAGGTGTGCATCACCACACCTGGTACCTTTAACCACTTTTCATTTCCCCACCTTCTCTGATTTGCAGGAGGTGGCTGTTACTGTTATCCTTCAGTTTCCATTGAGATTTAGCAGTTTTTCATTGGAAGCAGTACAGTGATACCTTAGTTCATGGATTTAAGTTGTTCTGCGAGTTTGGAAAAGATGGTCATGTTTGTGTTTGTGTGGTGAAGATGGCTGCAGTTGTGTTTGTCACCCGATGCAGAGTTTGCAAGCAAAAACAGAATTTTGCCAAACGCTTCTGTTTGTGAGCCAAATTGTTTACAAATAAAAGCTTTCCTTAACTAAGATACCACTGCATTCATTTGTGCTTTTTGGGCAGAGAACTTGTTGCCTGCAAATACAAGCTAATAAAATGGCCTCATCTGAGTGTGCCCTTCCCTGTTAACTGTGGCGTGTTGCTTGCTTTTCTAGGAGCCATGCTTGACCAGGATGGTGGGAAGATAAGCTCTATGCTGGAGGCCCTTGTGAGGAGATGAGGCGGTGAGCAGAGGCTGGGATGAAGATGCTGCCGGGAGTGGGCGTGTTTGGGACTGGCAGCTCAGCCCGGGTCTTGGTCCCACTGCTAAGAGCAGAAGGGTTCACTGTAGAGGCCCTGTGGGGGAAGACGGAGGAGGAGGCAAAGCAGCTTGCCGAGGAGATGGACATCACCTTCTACACCAGTCGCACTGATGATGTCTTGCTGCACCAGGATGTGGACCTGGTGTGCATCAACATCCCCCCTCCGCTCACCCGGCAGATATCTGTGAAAGCTCTCGGTACGTACTTCTGGGCAGACCTCTAGGGCTCACCTCTTTCCTGGGTCTGAGGGTTCCTCCTGAACCCTGCATCTCTGGGTAGTGATACTCTGTGACATTCCTTGTCCCTAGAGCAGAGCTGTAAGGCCATGTCTGTTGGAGGGTCCTTTTTTTTTGGTTTTGGGATTTGTTTTCGTTTTTTTGAGACAGGATCTCGCTGTGTAACTCAGTTCTCTCTGTGTAGTTCAGGCTGGCCTTGAACTTACTATGTAGTCCATGATGCACCACCACCTACCAGCAATGTTGGAGGGTCTTATAATACTAAGGGGAAAAAGACCCAGCCTTTTCTGCCTCCATTAAATCCTGGAGCAAAAACTAAGGAAGTCCTCTAAAAGATAGTCCATCAAGAGGCTGGAGATGATTACATTTCAACCAGTGAAAAATCTGCCTCTGAAAAGTCAATAGTCCCTGGGCACTGGGAAGTTGGTTGTGATTGATGTGTTTATTTTTCCACACCTTGACAATGGCACGCAACATCACAGGAAGGAGGGGCAGCTGTCTAACAAGGTGACTGTTTCCATGTTTTGTCAGCCCTTGACTTGTAGGGAGCACACACCCTTCCTCCCAAACTGCAATCTTGTATTGTCAGACAGCAGGAAGACTGTGACACTACTGGTTTTCCGACAGGATCTGTGGGATGGCCTGCTCACATCTTCGCTCCCTTGGGAAGTTCCAAATTTGGTAATCCCCTCCCCCTAGCTGGGCATGGCCTGCTGAGCTCTTTCTCTACAATTCCTGTTGGGCTTCTCTTTCCTGTCAACTCTAGACAAGTTTTTTTCTTGTATATAAATCAGAATCTAGTTTATTATGAAAATGAGCCAATAAACATTCATCCAGCAATTATTTTTTAATACTTCTTACGTGACAGGCATGGCCCTAATGTCATTTTTGGTACTCAAAGTTGGGTTAGATCAGAGCCTTCTCTGCCCACAGATTTTATAATCCAGTTGAGGATACTAGAAATAATACATTACAAGGTAAATGACAGAAGGCTGAAGTAACCATTCAAGTAGTACATAATTGAAAAAATAATTGTTTTATATAAAGTAGGAGGAGCCAATGTGTCTGATAGAGTCAGAGATCCCTAGGTAAAGGAGCTGGTGTATCATGAAGCTGACCACCACTCTTCCTGGCCATGGGTTAAGAAGGATAAATGTTCATTGACGTGAGCAAGAACCTGACTCCTTCTTGTCAGTTTGGAACATATAAGTTTTAGTCAAAAATTATAGATGATTTATATTTTCCAGAGAACTCTCTTTAAAGATGTATGATATTGGAGCTATTTACTGGTCATCAGATCGTGGGAAGAGAGATTGTGGCTCTCAGATGGAACTTTAGGTAAACCTAAACCCATGCTTTAGCAGAGGGCTGACTGAAGAGGAATTAATCACTTGACGCCTACATCTCTTGTGGCATGAATCAGACTGGTTGGAGAGCTCTGTCCAGGCATAGCTGTGAGGGCTGTCAGTCATGTTCCTGAGTTTTAGGGTCTCCACAGAGGCCCTTTCAAAGCTATAAGAGAAAAAAGAAACTTTGAGGTTCTTTGGCAACAAGCTTGCTAGTTTCTTGTTCCTGGTACAGGAGAATAGTAGACTTTGAGTCACTTAATATAAATAGGAAGGACTAGGAATGACAAGGAACTTCTGGGGTCCTGTGTCCCACAGGGCTGTCAGTCTTGTCTCCACGTATCTGCTGTAAGGAGGAGTAGAGAGCACATGAGGATCCTTGATCCATTTTTGCAGGTACCTGATTGCAGGGCCAACTTGGAAGGGCCTGGAGAGCCTGTTTCACCTCAGCCTGACTCAGGTGCTACCTACTCTGGCTCCAAAGGAGTTGATAGGGCTTATGATGATCATGAAGTTCACTCCTTGTGTATTTTCACTTTTTTAGTCAGGATTCTGGCTTGATTTCAGCCCTAGGGAGGCTCCTTAGGCCTTATGTGTGTGTGGTGAACTGTTAGGGACAGAGCATCAAGCCGGGGATATAGCTCAGTGGCACAAGCGCCTGCCTGGCAAGTGGAAGGTCCTGAGTTCAATTCCAAGTACAAAAAAAAAAAAGGCTGGACAGAGCTTCAAGACTGATCTTGAAAGCCAGGCATGGTGGTGCACACATGTAGTCCCAGCACTCAGGAGGCTGAGGCAGCAGGATTGCCATGAGTTGAGGCCAACCTGGGCTACAAAGTAAATTCAAGGCCAGCCTGAACTGCATAGGGCAACCCTGTCTCAAACTGACAAAGATTGACCTTGATATCAGGCCCTACCTGTGGTCCCTTTTCAGGCCCTCTCAGCATCTGTGGGCCCCCATGAAATGGGGTATTAATTCCTGCCCCACACAGCCTTTCCAGGGTGGTATACAGCTACCCCTCAAGTGCTGCTCAGGAATGTCGCTCTGGTCCCGTTGCAAGGGAGGGCTTGGCTTTCCTGTTGGCCCAAGCAGAAGAGTAGGTGTGACCAAGTTCATTTTTAAAACCAAACAGAACAGGATTCTCTTCTAGATACTCATTAGATGACCGTTCACCGAGTTGAATGTACCCTAGAAGTGCAACTAAGCATTTCAAGTTATCGCAGATGTGAAATGCTTTCCTGTGGGTTGTCAGATGTCATTCTTGGAAAAAATAAAAATAAAAAACCGTCCTCTCTACCTATAAAGCTCTGGAAGTGTGTAGTTGTTACTCTTCAGATGAACAACAGGACAGACACAGGTATTGTATTGACAGTTGTAATACAATGCGTTTAAAAGTCCCCGGGCAGTATCCTAAAAGACCCCGTAAGACTCTCAGTGGCACTTCATCTAGCTGCGTGTTCTCAGGTTCCCCTGTATGAGTCTATGTATGGGAGACAGTATGTTTTCCTTTCTCTCATAGGAGTCTTTGTTTCTCTTCTTTTTCATTCCTGTTACTAGGGCTGTATCTCTTCCTGTCTTTGTGTGTGTGTGTGTGTGTGTGTTTTATTTTAATTAAGGATATTAACTTTAGATCTGTAGTCTTTTTAGAGCTAGGGAAAAAAAGACATAATTACTTAGCTCTGTAGCTATTAAAGTGTTCTTATTTTAGGTCAGCTCTTCCAGACCTGTGAGAAGGATATCACAGTTACATAAAGGGCTGATTTAATTCAGCATCCTTTTGACATTGTTCTGTGCTATGCTAAATATTATAAAAGGCAGAAAGGTTGGGCATGGTGGCACATGCTTATAATCCCAGCGGGAGGCAAAGGCAGGCAGATCGCCGTGAGTTCAAGGCCATCCTGAGCTACATAGTGAGACCCTGTCCTAAAACAAAACAAATCAAACTTATTTTCCTAGTAGCAAAGCCTTCTTCCTTTAAAAAAAAAAGGCGGGGGGGGAGTGTTCTCTGGGTTTTGTCAAACATAAAAGTATTGCTTTCCTTGGACTTTTGCACCCTGCTGCTATTGTGAAATGATCTAGTCCCAGGCCTCTATGTAGGGAAATGAGGGTGTTCTGGGTATAGCCTGTGAACCCTGTCTTGGGGCAGCTTCTGGGCCAAGTTCAAGACAGCTTGAACTAGAGGGAGGTTTGCAGCTTGAGCCCTGATCCTTCAGAAAACCTGAGCTAAAAGCACTCGGGTTTGGGGGTGTAACTCAAGTGCTTAGCATACTGGAGGCCCTGCATTCCATCTCCAGCACTGAAGAAAAAGCATTGGGTACCATGTTTCCCATTCCTGGGAGGCAAAAGACAGTTTTCAGCATCTCTAACCTCTCCTTTCTTGGCAGGAGAGCTAGATAAACTTATAAACGTGTATTTCAGGTCTTCCTAAAGGTAAAGCCTGTGCAGCTGGCTGCAGGAGGTGGTTTACTGCTGTGTGCCTTTGATTCCTGCACTGATAAGACAATAAGGATCTTGTATTCAGAAGCTCAGGCAGATCAGCTCCCTATTCCTTCTCAGTCCTTTTGTGGCATGAAACAGGAATTCCTTGTCCTGATGTAATCACCACCGAACTCCTAGCTGTCTTAAAAAATCTCTTTCCTCACAACTCGCCTCTCTGCATTATACGGCAGTGTCCTTCCCAGCCCCAGCAGTGACTTGTTACAGCAGGAAGCTTCTGGTCATCCAGAGCTGCAGCCCTCAATGGGGATTTGTATCGAAAAACCTCATTTCCTTGTTACCTCCCTGCTCAGCCACATGTGTTCAACAGCCAAATGGCAGAGTTCTCCCCAGCATTGCATTTCTCCTGTCCCTAATCTAGAAATCTCATAAATGTAGAGGAGCATTGGCAGTATATTAGTGATAGCAGTCAGGGGCTCCTCACCTTCCTGCCCTGAGTGGGTGACACCAGGCTGAGCATCCCCTTGTTGTCTTCTCAGCATCTTTTGTAAAGTTTCTGTTGTTTGTTTGGATTTGGTTTTTTTGAGACAGGGTCTTGCTAGTAGTTCAGCAGGCCTTGAACTCACTATGTAGCACTTGCAGCAATCCTGCTTCAGCCTCCTGAGTGCTGGGATTACGGGCTTTACCACTGCACCTGGCAGCTTCTGTTATTTAGGGAAAAGCATGAGATTTTGGGATGCAGGGACCACATAGGCTGCTGATCCACAGCCACTCCTCCTTCCTGTGCTTTGTATTCCTGGGAGTTCAGGCCTGGACTGAACAGTGATAAATGTTCTGTGGACTTCTTGAAGGTCAGGGTAGTAGGAATGGGTAGGAATTGAAAGGAGCAAGAAAGATTTCCAAAGGCACCAAACCATTTCCTGTGTATGCTGCGGAGTGTGAGCTATCGAAGGGTTAGGCTGGGCTTGCCTCTGTCAGAGGCTCCATGAACAGCACATATAAAAAGAAAACCCTGTTTGTGCTGATTGTTAAACATCTTTTTCAAAAATCAAATTTTTTGAAGTACTGAACACAGAAAATATGTGGATGAAGAATGTAGCTTCTCCATGAGTCTTAAAATCTGAACCACTCTGCCTCTCTATGCTCTTTTGTTTGTGATGTCTGCTCAGCTTCCCCTATGATGATGGTAATAAACACACTGTTGGGGCTGGGGATTTAGCTCAGCGGCACACACCTGCCTGGCAAGCGCAAGGTCGTGAGTTCGATTCCCGGTACCAGAGAAAAACCTAAATAAATAAATAAACAAACAAACGCACTGTTGACAGAGCTGTGCTGTGCTAGACCAGACGCTTTACGTACCCTGCCTCAGTTGACTCAGCCTTTTCTTCCCTGCAAACTAGATAGAATTTATTTTACAGTAGTAACCCAGAGCCAAAAGAGGTTCACAAAAACAGCAGGTCCTTTAGCAGTAAAGTGAGTTTTTTTATTTTTGTTTTTGTTTTGGTAGTGAGGATTGAACCCAGGGCCTTTGCACTGAGCAACATCCCCAGCCCTCATTTTATTTTTTATTATTAGTGCCTATTTATTTTACAGTTGAATTTAAGTATGATATTTTCATACTTGTATATAACTTTTGATCAGTCAAGTGTGGTGCTACCTGCCTGTAATTCCAGCACTCAGGGAGGTTGAGGCAGGAATATTGCAAGTTTGAGCCCATCCTGAGCTAAAAATTAGGCTGGATGCAGTGGAGTACACCTGTAATCCAGGCATTCTAGAAGGCTGAAGCAGGAAGATCACAAGTTTGATCCCAGCCGTGGCAATTTAGCAAGACCCTGCCCCTGCCTCAAAATAAAAAGTAAAACAAAGGGCTAGAAATGTAGCTCAGTGTGAAGGTCTCAGGCTCATCCCCCAGTATTCCTAAAAAGAAAATACTTAATTTACATTTCTAGAAATGAGGAATTTTTGACTACAGAAATTTCTGGCTTCAACACTTAAGTTCAGCACTTGGCAGGGTGGTCAGCTGTGCTAGGCCTAGCCATCATGTGAGGCATCAATTTTCTAGAGTTTCTTCTTTTTTATAGCAAGATTTATAGTTCTTGGTAACCATTATTTCTGCTGCAAGATGGTCAGATGAGTTCCCTTGCTGAGCCTGTGAGAACAGAATCCATCTCAGTCCATCTGTACAAGATGCACCTGCGGTGAATCATCCTAAATAACTCTGTCCCAGCCACTGCCCCTCTCTGCAGGAGTTATGAGAGGTGCACAGCTAGAGAAGGCACAGTCTGGGCTCGGCAGCCCTGGGTCTGGGGCACCCAGCCTTAGAGCTGCTCCCTAACCAGGAATTGCATATGCAGTGCAGAAAGAGAGCCCAGATGGCTGGGGGGCAGGGGGAGAGGGGCTGGGTACACACATTATTCAAGATGATCCTCAGCCAGAACAGTGAACAGAGGTTGGCTGGTCCAGAGCAGGCCTGTGCTGTCCCCGATGAGCCCCAGCCCTGTCTGTCCACCCTCCAGTGCTAGGATCTCTGCCTCTCCCCACCCACGAGGCCCTCCTGCACAGGAGCCCCATCTGCTTCAGTGGGGTGAGGGACCATAATGAGCAGGTGAGGGACTGTGGTAGACAAAAAAGATAAAAAAGCAAATTTTAGAGGAGTTCCCACATAATAATAGATCGAAGTCTTATGAGTAGACCACTGTTAGGATTTGGGCTTCTAGCCTGCATGGTGGCACATGCCTGTAATCCCAGCACTCAGGAGGCTGAGGCAAGAGGATTGTTGCAAGTTCGAGGCCAGCCTGGGCTACAAAGTGAGCTTAAGGCCAGCCTGAACTGCATAGCGAGACCCTGTCTCAAAAAGACAAAAAACAGGCCAGGGATATAGCTCAGCAGTACAGGCACCTGCCTGGCAAGTGCAAGGTCCCAAGTTCGATTCTTGGTACAAAAAAAAAAAAAAAAAAAACAAAAGACAAAAAACAAAACAAGGATTTGGGCTTTTATTCTAAATGAGATAAGAAGCCATTGGGAGATTTTAGGTAAAGGAAGATTTGTATGAGTGATCTGATCCAGTTTAGATTTTGTGTTAAGCTTTCCATTGCTGAAGCAAAATACCTAACTTAAACAACTTAGAAAGAGTAAAAGTTTATTTTGGCTTTGACAGTCTCAGAGGTTTCAGCTCACTGTTGGTTGACTTGTTGCTTTGGGGCCTGTGTGAGGCACAACATCAAGAGGGGAGCACATGGTAGAACAAAACTATTTACCCCACGGCAGCTGGAAAGCAGAGATGAGGCCGGGATCCTGATACCCTGTTCAGAGGTGCATCCCCAGTGCCTAACTTCCTTCCACTAGACCCCAACTCCTAAAGGGCCGCCTCCCACTTTCACCAAGGGCTGGGAGCTGTGCTGGCAGCACAGGCCTTTGGAGGACATTCATGTTTTAAATTAAAAGTTAGGTTTTAACAAAACCACCCTAACTGCTGTAAGGAGACTGAGGGAGGCTGAATTGGGGAACCAGTTAAGTGACCATTAAATAATCCAGGCAAAAAACAGTGGGGACTTGGACAAGGAAGGTGGCACTGAGAACTGGTTAGCTTCTGGATGTAGTTTGAAAGCTAGGATTTACTGAAATTGAAAGTGGACCTGGGTGTGGTGGTGCAAGGGTGTAATCCTAGCACTCACGAGGCTGAGGCAGGAGTATCACCATGAGTGTGAGGCCAGCCTGGGTCACATAATGAGTTTAAGGCCAGCTTGAACTACATAGCAATACCCTGTCTCAAAAAAAAAAAAACAAAGGATGTGAATAATTTTGGCTGGAGAAACAGATGAGGATGCTCTAAGGAGGGGGAGTATCAAGAGCCCCAAGTCACATGCCTTGAGTGACTTTGGGAGTGATACTCCTGGTCACCTATCCAAATTCCCCCCTTGCTTAGAGGTTCTGTGTAATCCCCCGATCCTGTTTCCTGGCCTCTACCCAGGACTTCAGAACTCTGAAGACAAACAAAATGAAACACTTCAGCCAAGCATGGTGGTGCACACCTGGTGGAGCGCTCGGGAGGCTGGGGCAGGAGGGTTGCTGTGAGTTTGAAGCCAGCCTGGGCTACCTAGTGAGTTGAAGGCTTGAACTACATAAGAAAAGAACCTACTTCTCTGAAACCCTGGCACCATAATCCCAGGAGGCTGAGGCAGGATCACAAGTTCAAGGCCAGCCGAGGCAATTTAGCAGGACCCTGTCTCAAAATACAAAATAAAAAAGGTCAGGATTTGGCTCAGTGCAAAGACCTTGAGTTCCATCCCCAGTACTGGGCCGGGGATGGGGTTAGGGGAGGTCTTACTCCTCTTTGTCCAGTCTAGTCACTGGGACTGTTTTCAGTCTAAGCTAAGAAGGCTTTCCTGGGTTCATCTGCTTGGAGAAATAAGATCTTTCCCACTTAGCTTGGTGGCACATGCCTGTAGCCCCAGCACTCTGGAAGGCTGAGGCAGGAAGATCACAAGTCCCATCCTGGGCATTTTAGCAAGACCTTATCCTAGAATTTAAAAATTTTCAAAAGGACTGGGGATATAACTCAGTATGAAGGCCTTGGGTTCAGGGCACCCCCAAAGTTCTCTCATGTAAGTCCCTTGGAACTTTGAGATTTCCCTTATGTCTTACTCACAGGCATTGGGAAGAACGTGGTCTGTGAGAAGGCAGCAACCTCGGTGGACGCCTTCCGGATGGTGACAGCCTCCCGCTACTACCCGCAGCTGATGAGCCTGGTGGGGAATGTGCTACGCTTCCTGCCTGCCTTCGTGCGCATGAAACAGCTGATTGCAGAGCATTATGTTGGCGCAGTGATGATCTGTGACGCCCGCATCTACTCAGGCAGCCTGCTCAGCCCCAGCTATGGCTGGATCTGTGACGAACTCATGGGCGGCGGGGGCCTGCACACCATGGGCACCTACATTGTGGACCTGTTGACCCACCTGACTGGCCGGAAAGCCGAGAAGGTGCACGGGCTGCTGAAGACCTTTGTGAGACAGAATGCTGCCATCCGTGGCATCCGGCATGTCACTAGCGATGACTTCTGTTTCTTCCAAATGCTCATGGGCGGAGGAGTATGCAGCACAGTGACACTTAACTTCAACATGCCAGGCGCCTTTGTGCATGAGGTCATGGTGGTGGGCTCCACGGGGCGCCTTGTCGCTCGGGGAGCTGACCTCTATGGGCAAAAGAACTCTGCCACACAAGAGGAGCTGCTAGTGAGGGACTCACTGGCCATGGGCGCAGGGCTGCCCGAACAGGGGCCACAGGATGTCCCACTGCTCTACCTGAAGGGCATGGTCTACATGGTACAGGCCTTGCGCCAGTCCTTCCAGGGGCAAGGGGACCGCCGCACCTGGGACCGCACCCCTGTTTCTATGGCTGCCTCATTCGAGGATGGGCTCTACATGCAGAGTGTGGTGGATGCCATCAAAAAGTCAAGCCGGTCCGGGGAGTGGGAGACTGTGGAGGTTCTGACGGAGGAGCCTGATGCCAACCAGAACCTGTGTGAGGCACTTCAGCGGAATAACCTATGAGCCTGCAGTTGGGCTCCCTGCCACAGGGCACAGGGATCAGGGAGGGAACAATGATGGAGGTACAGCTGGCGATAGTAGACACAGTGTCATTCATTTAGTAAATCCGCTTGGACTAGGGCTGAGAGAAGATTGAAGGTGGCCCAGGGCAATCTCCCTTGCGTCTGCTCATTTACTCCTCAGACTTGCAGGACAGCGACACGCCTACTGCCACAGCCTAGACTAGCGTTGTGTACAGGGCAGATCTGCTGCCACGCCTCTTCATGGCTCTGCTCATGAGTGGGACCAGTAAAACCCAGCTTGGGCTCCTCAACCTGATCTGTGGTCTGACAGGATGAAAAAGCCTAGAAAAGAGCCCCCTGGGCTGAGGTCTAGGAGAAATGACAAGAAGCCTTGTTATGTCCATGCCCTCCTTGGGCACTGGGGCATCTCAGGAACGGTGAGGCAACAAGTCATCCCTCAGGGACCTCACCTGCTCTCCCATCTGACCGCACCAGGCCGACCTGCACAGAGGAGGGTTTCTGTATTCAGTGAGCTCAGGCTGTTGACTTAGGGCAGAGGGCCTCTGACTTGGCGGAGAGGAGATAAGGGGAGCCATAGAACATCTGATGAATGTCACTATAAATGAGAAAATATGACTTCCTGGTGTGTGTTTTTTGTTTGGTGATCCGTTTTTTTTAGTAGAAAGGCTTGTTTATTGCTGTAGATAGTTATCTTTCCTCAAAACTGCACAGCAGCTCTGAGTCTGTGGTAGATCCGATACTGCCTGCCCCTCATCTCCGGCTTGTTCCTTCATAGCTGAGCCCCAGGAATCCTCCAAAGAAATGTTTCCTCAGAGGACAGGACACAGGGTTCCTTGAGGGGTGCTGCTGGGCCTGCCACCTGGGGTCTCCGGGGCTCGAGTTCAGGAGGGTTCTCTTCCTGAGAACATGGTGTGGCTCCAGGAGGGCCCTCCAGAGGGGACGAGTTTGAGGATGAAGGACTCACTGCCCTTTGGCACAAGTTGGACTGGTACCACCTGACCCAGGCAGACAGGGACAGCTCTTAGCCACCTCAGGCAGAGGTGGGTGGGTGGGGTGTTGAGAAAGGACACATCTGACCCTTTGTTTCCTTTGCCAGCTGCTGGATCGTGAAGCCTGGACAAACTCTGTTCTTTTCTCCAGCCTTCCTCCCACTTCCTGTGAGCCCCTGGCCAGAAAAGCCCAGGGAGAGCTTCCTGTCCCTCTTGGCAGCCCTTACAGAGGTCGCCAGGCCTGTTTTCCTGCACTGTCCTGTTTCATTGCCTTGTCCGAGTGAAGATAAAATAAGGGTTAGTGCTGGAGTGTACTTACGGCATTCTGGGTCCGTAGGGTAAGCATTTAAAGCATATTATTTAATCTCCAAACCACTCTAGTAAGGTACTATTAATAGGCTCATTATTCAGCTCCGAAAACAGGCACAGGGGCAGAGTTACTCACCTCCCCTGGGTTGTAAGTGATGGGATCCAGGAGCCTGGTAAAGACCATCTGACTACAGCATCTGACCGAGAGCTGTGCTTGATCCTGGCACTCAGAAATCACCCAGGCACCTAGGCACTGCCCCTCCTGCAGCCGGGATCCACTTGGCCTGGACTGGAAGAACTGCAGAGAGCTCCCATTCTCAGGCTGGACATTGGCAGTTAAAGGAGAGGCTACCTGGAGTCCTCAGTTCTGCTTAGCTTCACACCAAACTCTTACTGGGATCCCAAAGCCTCCTAAATTTGGAAATTGACCGAGAAAACCCAAGATGTTCCTACATAAGAAAGGGCAATGTTGCTGACCCAGAGTAGCTAAAGTTAGGTTTTGGAGGACTGTGCTGTTTACAGAGACTGATTCTCCCAGTGCTGGGGCACATTGCAGTGGACTTAATGCAGACCAACTTGAGCCCAAAACTGGTTACTGGCTTGTCCTGCAGCGCCCCCTCCTGGAGGAAGGTAGCATCTCCCAGGACCTGTTTCCCAAATCTCGGGATGCTAACTGCACTCCCTCAGGTCAAAGTAGTTTTTCCTGGCCAGTGAAAATTAGCTTTCCTCCTCTGAAATAGCAACCAGACGAGAAGTTCTAAAATACCCACTGCTTAGTCACCAGCCTCCAACCAAATCTGTACCTCATACCCAGACCTGGCAGCTGCTGCTTCATCTTTCCGTCGTCTCTTCCCCCATTCTGCTCTTCACGCTTCTGTCCATGCAGTCCTTTCTCAGTGTCCAGCCCAGACCCCTCTTTTGCCCCTAGACTCGCCCAGCCTGCACTTCTGATGGCTGTGCCATCTGCATTGGCCACATTGAGCAGCCCTCCTGCATGGCACAGGTATCTTCCACATCAGCAAGGGGTCATCCCTGGCTTGTTCTCACCTGGAAAATAGCAGTTCTGTCCTTCAGGAATACTTGAAAGGCTGCCTCATCATCACAAGTCCCCTAAGCGAAGTGGCACTCACCCCACTGCCTGTGGTCCCACATGTCCTCTTGAATTGTGCTGCCTCAGAATTTCCCCTTGTGTACGTGTGTGTTTACTGGGTACTGGGAATCGAACTCATGACCTTGCATTTTGCCAGGCAAGCGCTGGTACCACTGAGCTATATCCCTAGCCCAGATTTTCCCCTTATAGTGAGCTTCCACAACCCTCAGAGACTTGTTTTTTCCTCTTTAGACAAGTCCATGTATAACAGGCCTCAGGAATTGAAGGCCAGCTCTCTTCACTGAGCACAATTTCTTGTCTCACCTTTGGGGAGATAGGAGCAGAGCTTCCTTCTCTGTGATGGTCTTACCCATATCTCCACCTCAGATACCAGGTGGAGAGAGCAGATGCTTAGCCTTCTTGGGTCAGCCCTTAGCCAGAGAGCCCCAGGTAATGGTCTCTTGAAAGACTGCTTTTCTGCAGGCCTCTGCCACAAAGTGAGAGAGTCAGGGTCCACTATTTAGCTCTGAAATACACTGAAAAACCTGTGCTTGTCTCCCTGGGAGATTCCGTTTTCATGGCACCGGGATGGTAGGAGCACTACCCAGGGGAGTCTAGGCAGAGGGAGAAATGTCCTGCCCCCAAAGCTTGCCTGTGGCCTTCCTAAGGGAAGATGCCAAGAAAGGACCATTTTCATCTTGCTCCTTGCCCACCCCATACCTCCAATGATTGTGCAGACCATTATTCCAGGTTGCCTGCTGGTTGGGTTCCCAATGGCTGCAGCCAGTTCAGATGCTTATCTGTCCTTTCCACAGCCTCCGTCCCTCACCGCAGTTTGCCTGGTTTGTTGCCTCTTATGGGAGGCCTCTGCTAGGTGGGTGCAATGCAGTGATGCATGCCCTTGGGGAGTTCACAGTTGCAAAAACAGTTATAACCCCAGTGACAGTAGTGTGCAGATGCTACAACACAAGGTAACACTGGCTGCTCCCTGGCTCAGCAGGAAGAGGGCGCCCAAATTACCTGGGGTAAGTGTGCACTAGCTGGAGGAAGGGTGAGGGGTAAAGGTATTTTAGACAAGGAAAGCCATGTGCTGAGAGTGAAGGTAAGAAAAGATGTGGCTGGACAGGGTCAGGGAGTGACAGGCAGCCACTGAGAAGTTCTGAGGCTGCTGGAGCAAGAGAAGCAACATATTACAGGGGACAACGATGCCATCAGAGGCACAGGTGTGTGTGGCAGGGTCATTGCATGGGTCTGGGCCCAGAGTCTACAGTCAGACGTGCAGTTCTTACCTGGAGACAGCCATGGGCCAGGAAGAAGGCTGAGCATGGGGTCTGAGAGGGCAGACTTACTCAACTGGCTGGTAGGAGTCAGTGTGAAAAAAATAGGATAGGGTTTGAGGTGACACCAAGATTTTGCCTGTTACACAGTGAGCTACATGAGGGAAAGCAGGTTGGAGGGAAGAAAAGTTACTGGGAGTGCCCTACATCTGAAGTGATTGAGAGATTCATGATGACCAGGAAGCTATGGCCACACAGCCAGCACTGGCCAGGGATCCCTGAGAGCTGGAGGCAACAGTCATTGACATCTTGGCCACAGGTTCCAGGGAGTACATCCACTACCACCACCATCACCCCTTTGCCTGCCAAAAAAAGATACTGATGCCCTGTCACCAGGGCCTACTCCATGGGTGAGGTCTGGTCCATCTGTGCTGTGGAAATGAGTGAAAAACATTCCAGTCTTGGAGTAGCAAACTGCTGCCTCAGAGAGGGATCCCAAGTGTTGGTCCCCTTGAGGTCAAGCTGAATGCAGGCCCTTCTGTGAAAGGCAAAGAGCCTGTTTGCCTAGTTGATATACTGGTACAGCCGCCGCAGATGCTGGGCCTTTCCTGCAAGGACCCAGGGCAGAGCAGGGGCTGGAATGCCACGACCTGTTTCCCAGGACCTTTCTTTTTCTTTTGCCCCACGTTCTCCCTACTCACCTCCTTCTTCATCTCCCACAGACAGCCTCTCTGAGCTTCACATCCACTTGGCAAGAACTAAGTTCATAGAACCAGGCCCCATACCTGCCCCACCCCCATTCCTAACTCAGATCTATTTTTCAAGGTCCCTGGCGATCCACCTGACTGGTCAGGTTTCAAACCTCCACCCTTTTTTCCTGCCTCTTTCCTAACTCAAGCATCCTATTTGGGGAACCAAAGTCTTAGAAAAGGAAAAATTTATTTTCTGCAAACCCATGTTCCCAAGTGGGGACAGAGGCTGAATTCCCTACTCCACATGATGGTCTAAGCTGACAGACTGAGGCTTGTTTCAGGCCTGGAAGGAGGGGATCCTCCAGGGAGTGACAGTCACTTGTACTGAGGGGACAGTGGGGGCACGAGAAGAGCAGCACAGACACTCAGCATCTTATCGATGTCTACCTGTGTGGACTTGTCCACTTCGGCCTTGAGGCAGCCACTTGCCCCCAGGCTGGGCAAGCCACCAGGTTCCACTCCAGCCTGCTCGACCAGCGGAGCCAGAGCAGGGGTGGGTGGCACTAATGCACTGGGGCAAGGCAAACCAAGGCCTAAGCCTGGCTGTCCCGCCATGGGCAGCAAGTCCTGAAGCTGCTTCACACCCACCTCCTCAGGAACCAGAGACAGCTCCAACTTAGGGTCCACCTTGAACTCCTCGTTCCCCTCCTCTGCCTGGTTCAGCTCAGGGTTGCAATAGTTGATGTACTGGTACAGTGGTCGCAGACGCTGGGCCTTTCCTGCAAGGACCCAGGGCAGAGCAGGGGCTGGAGTGCCAGGCAGTGCCAATGTCAGATCCAGCCAACAGAGGAGAAGGGGAGGCCCAGGGATTGCTACTCACGCTCCAGAATCTCTGGGGGTGCACACGTTGTGCTGGCCACAGCTGGGAGCACAGGAGCCCCGAGACTCTTGCGTTTCTTGGCTTTTTTGGTCTGTTTGGCGGGCGGTGAGGGCTCACTCTGACTGGCCTCCAGCTCCTCCCTCTTCAGCGGCAGTGTCCCTGGTGGCAGTTCACCTTCAATCCTGGATAAGCATGATGGCGAGGGACTGGGATCAGGGACAAGAGCCCTGGAGAGGCTGCCTTCAGTCTCTGGTTCAGGTACTTTGATCCCAGGGACTGCCATGTCTGCCCACAACCCCAGGGCTAGACAGCAACTATCCCTTTCCTGGTCAGTGAAGGCCAGAACTGATAGCCCGCAGTGTTTATGTGAGCTCAGTGCCCTATAGCCCTGGAAGCTCCATCTCAGTGGTCCCTACACCAGGGGTCCTGAGGAACACAAGGGGTGGACAGTGATGGTAATTGCAGGGGGCCAGGAATCTTGGCAGGAGTGCAAGATTTAGGACTCGTAGGGTGTGGGGCCCATCCCCCAGTCCTTCAGCTCCCTCCCTCTGAAACCCCCCTCACTTGACCGGCTTCTTCTTCAGCCCATTACTGGGCTTCTCAATGGAGCCCACAGGCTTGGGGCCCTTCTCTTCCCCTGCCTCTGGCTCTGGCTCTAGTCCCGGTTCCTCCTGCTTGAGTCCCTCCTCCTGGTGCTCTGGCTCTGAGCAGTGTGCTGTTGGACACTTGTCTTCATCCTGGGTACTGGATGAACTCTCTTGCACTGGGAGCAGGCACTGATCTCCTGTCACTGGACACTAGAGGTGACACACAGGTTATTAGTCACCACGACCAGGTGAAGGCTGTAGCGGTCAGTCATTCGACAGACATTAGCCACCAAACATGGATAGAGGGCATCAGCCCAGGCCCCTTCCCGCAGGGTCTGGCTGGCAGTTAGGGTGTGGGGTCACTCAGAATTCGTCTCCCAGAGTTCGGTGGCAAAGTATTTGACGGCTAGTCGGTCTGACCGTCAGTCAATCATCTCAGGGGTCTGAGCATGGCCACCACGCACCTCTGTGATACGGCCCTGCCCCAAAGTCGTCCCCTCATGAGCCCCTGGGCACTTCTTGGCCTCTTCGGCGGCCATGGCTGCACAAGGTCGGCGTATCTTCGATGGTTACCAGAGGGAGAGCAAACCCTGAAGAGCTGGACCGGTAAACTCTTCGCTGACTGGGGAGACCAGAAGGGAGACAAGGGCTGAACTGAGACCAGGGGCCCCTCTGTCTAACGTCTACTGGAACTACAAGTCCCAGAAGCCTTTTAGCTAGGGTCATTGACCCCTGACCTAAGGGACGGAAGCTATTTGTTACCTGGCAACAGAAACTCCGGCCGGGTTGGAGAAGCTGGCGGTAAAACTACTCGAGTGAGCCCCTGCGGAGCGTTGCGGGAGAGGGCTGCGAACCCGAACCGGAGGAGGAGTAGACTAGGATCCAGGTCGCGGAGGCGGCGAACGCGGGCAGACCCAGGGGCGCGGGGCGGGGAGAAGGCGGGTAATGGGAGGCGCGGCTTGGCTGAAGAGTTCGTCTAGACTGGGCGCGGGGCTCGGGGAGGGGCCCGGGCGGAGATGCATGGCGTGGCAAGCCTTGGTGAACCGTTGCAGGGAAGCGACGTAGATATGTGTGAGGGTCCGTCCCGCATCTCGGGGCCCATCCCTCCAGATCCCACGCTGTGCCCTGACTGCTACCGGCGGCCCGCCTCAGGTGAGTTGGCGGGTACCGCGGCAGGGCGAGGCACCTGCTTCACCACTAAGCCCTACACCCTACATTCCTCCCGTCCCGCTTCTCAGCCCAAGGGCGCCTTGAGGGAAATGCGCTGAAGCTGGACCTGCTGACATGGGGCCGAAGTCTAGATGCCACACCTCCGCGTGCTCCACGCATCAGGCCTGGAGCCCGAGAGATCCTGGAGCGTGGGCAGCGCGGCGCGGGGGACGTGCTACTGCAACTAGAGGGCATCTCCCTTGGTCCAGGGGCCTCTCCCAAGAGTAAGTCCCAGCCAGAGGGGTAGTGAAGCAGTCAGATGTCAAAAACTGAGATAAAAGCCGTGTTGGTGGTGCACGCCTGTGATCCCAGCACTCTGGAAGCTGAGGCAGGAGTTCGAGGCCAGCCTCGGGTACAGAGTGAGTTCAAGGTTAGCCTAAACTACATAGTGAGACCTTGTCTAACAAAAAACAAAAACAAACAAACACAAAAACCCCCCACTGAAATCAAGCTGAATGTGATGGCTGGTGCATGCCTGTAGTCCCAGCTCTCAAGATTCTGAAGCAGGAGGATCGCTTGAGTCATGAGCCCAGCTGAGCAACATAATGAGGTCTTATCTAAAAAAAAAAAAGCTGCCCAATGTAAAAAACACCTGCTCCTTCCCTGAACAGAGCTCAGGCTTTGCTCCTCTGGGTCTGTTTCCGCAATATAAGAAAGGGAAAATCATTACCTCCCCAAAAGAGTGGACTACATGAGGTAGTACACATGAAGCTTTAACTTTCTTTGTGCATCCATGCATCAGTGAAATGTTTATTGAGTACCTGCTGTATGCCAGGCCCCATGGATGCTCAGAACAGGGTTAAAGACAAGTATAGACCACCATCAAGTCATATGGGAGGCAATAAATAAGTGAAGAATAATATATAATTAATGGTATACTGCACTATAAAAATGTGGAAAATAATCAGGAGATATTTTCTGGGAGTTTGAGCCCAGTCTGGGCAACTTAGCAAGAACTTGTCTCAAAAAAAAAAAAAAAGGCTGGGATGTAAATAGAGTATTTCTGTTGGGTCTAACTTAGATGGAAAGGTCAGGGATTCTTTCTGCAGGGGATAGGTGTGGGCTCATGTTCGATCTGATGTATGTTAGGCTGCAGGGACCACATGTAGGGCACAGCCTGGCAGCATCTTTTCCCCAGGGAAAGACCCTAAAGACCATGAAAAAGAAAACCTGAGGCGGATCAGGGAGATCCAGAGGCGCTTCAGAGAGCAGCACAGCCAGGAGCGGGGCCAACCCAAGCCACTGAAGGCACTGTGGCGCTCGCCCAAGTATGACAAGATGGAGTCCCGAGTCAAGGCCCAGCTGCAGGTATCTGTCTCAGAAAACCAGAAACATTATCCCTCTTGGCCACTAGGCTCTGAGTTATGGGGAGGGAGGAAATCACAGAGATAACAAAAGACTAAGAGACACCGTAGGGGTGGCTTCACAGAAGTGGTGATGGCTGGGCTGATTCTGAGGGGCAAGTAGGAATTAGCCAAGTAGAGAATAGAAGAGAGTGTTCCAGAGATGGAACTGCACAGGCAGAAGTCTAGAGACCAGAGGAAATATGGGTACTGGGGGTCAGGCAAGAAGGAGCTGGTCCCACATGCCACTTGTCAATAATCAACGTTTCCTTTCTTTTTTCTGCTTTTGGATGCTGACAATTGAACCTGAGCCCTCATGCATCCTAAGCATGTGCTCTACCACTGAGATGACCCCTGTCCCTTCAATATATACCTGAGGACAGCAGGGAGAGCAAGGGTCAGGGTATGGTGGTAGCATTCTGTCTTGCATAGATCATTCCTCTCTCCAGGGACTCAGAGGGAAGAATAGAATTGAGAAAAAAGACAAGGTCACATGAGGATGTATTGAGGCTGAAGCATCTGTGGGACTCCCAGGGGGTGGGAGTGTGTCCAAGAGGCAGATGGATACTCAGGTCTGGAGCTCTGGCATGAGACCCAGCAGTTACTGATGAGCAGGCTGAGAACAATCAGATCAAGGAAGTGGCAATCTGCATTTGAGGGCTTGACAGCTAGCTCTCAGTGACTCTGAGGGGTTCTGGAGTTGGGAAGTTTGGCTAGGAAGGAAAAGAATGGTAGCTGGACCAGGACTGAGACACAAACAGAGGTGGTTTGTTGTTCTCTTAAAGATGTGAGAAGAGTTAGGGATGTAGTCAGTGGTGGAGAGCTTGCCTACCATATGCAAGGACCTGGGTTTGATACTCCTTACTGGAAAAAAAAAAAGCTGTGAGAAACTCACACACGTGTAAATGTGATAAGCAGACACACTCCTTTTAGAGGGAGGAGGCCCACAAGGATGGGGATAGAAAGGTCCTGAGAAGCAGGAGGGACAGAGACATGGGTTTTTTTGTTTTGTTCTGTTTTTGTGGTACTGGGGTTTGAACTCAGGGCCTTGTGCATGCTAGGCAAGCACTCTACCATGGAGCTACATCCCCAGCCCTATTGGTGTGTGACTTAAGACCCTTAGCCTGACTGATTCCTCTGCTGTGCCCTGCCCTCCAGGAGCCTGGCCCTGCCTCTGCGACAGAGCCTGCCCAGTTCCTGCGGGCACACTCCCGCTGTGGCCCTGGGTTCCCACCACCCCGTGTCCCCAGTCCCCAGCTTACCCCATCAAGTCCTAAAGCCAAGGTGAGAGCATGTGGAGGCCAAGAGGAGAAGGATGGGCAGGGGTCTGGGGGTGCAGGGGTACAATACAATACTATTGGCCCCCCCTCCATGCTTGCCATGTCCTACAGGGGCTACGCCTGGGTGTAGACTTCATTAGTCACAACGCCCAAGCTGCCAAGAGGGCCCCCCGGCGCCATTCCCGCTCACTGCAGATCCTGGCCCAGGTACTGGAGCGGCAGCGGGAAGCCCAGGAGCACTACAACACCACACAGAAGGGCCACGTTCCCCATTAGTAGGTCCCAGTACCCGACACCCGGGGGAGGGGTACCTGTGGGGGTTAGGATCCAGTCTCCACCCCAGTGTCAGCAACCTTGTGCCTCTGCAGTTTGCTGGAGCGCAAAGATCTGTGGCGGCGGGAGGCTGAGGCCCGGCAGCACAGCCAGCCAGACCCCACCATGCCCCCAGGCCACACTCGAATGCCCGAGAACCAGCGGCTGGAGACACTGAACAATCTGCTGCAGAGTGAGTACCTGAGCAAGAGGGGCTGGATGGGGATTCCCCTGAGGACCATGCATCCCTGCCCAGCACTCAATGTTCCTGGGAACCTGCAGCCCAGACCCAGCTGCTGCGTGAGCTGGTACTGCTGCCTGCTGGAGCAGACTCACTGAGAGCCCAGGGTCACCGTGCTGAGCTGGACCGGAAGCTGGTGCAGGTGGAAGAAGCCATCAAGATCTTTTCCCGACCCAAGGTGTTTGTGAAGATGGACGCCTGAGCCCCTTTGTAGGGACAGGGACAGGGAGTTCCAGGATTGGCACACAGCTATAAAGGGCAGGATCAGACCCCATCACAGAGCACAGGTCTGAAGACAGCAGCAGTGGGGTGCACAGTATCCCCAGAGCACCCTTCCCAGTCACCAGTATCTACAGAAGAACCCTCCCAACCTTTTAACCCTTTGTCAAAATTAAACCTTTTGTACAGAGTAGAATTTGTTTCCATAAGAGCTTTTCTTACTCTAGAAAGCCAAACCTGGTAGCTTGGCTTGACTGTGGGAGGGTTTCCCACCGTCCAGGACAGAGGCAGCCTTGTAGGATCAAAGAGGAGGCTGGGGCTGGGACACAGAAGGACCATGTCAGTAATTGTAGAAAATCTTTAATGTTGCCCAGGCTGAGGGCCCTGTGAGCAAGCTAAAACCTCCCAGTGCGAAGTCCCTGCCATATCCCAGCAGCCTCGAGCGGCAAGGGGCTGCATCCTTGCCCGTCAGAGGCTGAAGCCACTACCATCTCCTCGTATGCTACTCCCCCAGTCAGAGCTGGCCTGTTCTTGACCATCCAGGGAGGGCAAAGAGCTGCGGGCACCAGGAAGTAGGCAGCCAGGATGCAGGTCCCAGCATGGGGACCCCTGAGACAGCCCATTAGAACAGGGAGTCTGGCGGTTCTCAAGGACCAGGTCACTGCTGTCATCATCACTGTCGGGCTCAGTAGGCCCAGGTCCTGAAGAAGGAGGCCCTGTCAGACGCCCAGATGCCCCTCGCACCACATTGTTTCGCTGGTTGGCAGGCTTGACAGTGACAATGAGGTTATGGCTGTTGGCAACCATCATGTCTGTCACTTGGTCCAAGGTCTTCCCAGCCACCTCAATGCCATTGACCTCAAGGATCTCATCACTGACCGCCAGCAGCCCTGTACTCTCAGCCAGGCCCCCACGTACCAGGCGGGAGATGAAGATGCCTGGAACCCGCTCCAGGCCCTGCGGAGCCACACGGACGCTCATGCCATCTCGGATGTAGAAGCCCAGGGGGCGGTCTGAACCATGCTTATGCAGCCGCACCCGTCGGTGGGTCTCAGGTAGTAGGTCCACGTCTATCACTGAGGAAACCTGGCGAAAATCTTGAGGCAGGCCAATTAGCAGAGGTGGCCGGGTACGTAGTGGTGCCACTGGTCGCAGCGAGAGCCCTTTCTTGCGCCGCTGCAGAGAGTTGGAGGCAAAAGGCACGCCACTGGAGTCAGCCTCTGCTGCAAGGAAAGAAGGTGTTGAGTTCAGAGATTGCTTTCCCACTTGGGTCGTTTACAGTGGGCAATGTCGCTATTTTCTACCACTTGGAGGTCAGGCGAAGGGCAGGGACTGCAGAGTGTGAAACCTGGGTACCTTGGGTGTGGACTAACCCTTGTAGACTTGCCCTTTCACCCTACCCCATCATACCCCATCCTCACCCCGCTTCTGCACCAGTAGGCGCAGCGGTGGGGGCCCGCTGACCAGAGCCCGGTGCAGGCTGTCATCGTTGGTGAGGGGCAGCAGGTCGCCATGAGCATCCGTGTAGCCAAGCAGCACATCCAGGCCCGGGATCTGGTGCACCACACGCAGCAACCGTGAGAACTCCTGGAATCCGCTCACCGAAGCACGGGGCAGTGCGAAGCGTCTGAACTCGGCGTCAAACTGGAGGTCGGGGGTGGGCGGAGAGAGAAGGGGTCAGGACAGAGCCCGCGCTCCCTTCTTACCACAGCTCTGAGGCTGTCAGGGGTGGGAAAGAACGGACTGCCGCAAACGCTGCAGCCTTAAACCCAAACAGCTCCAGTACAGGGGATGCGGTCCAATCCCCCCACCCCCGCCCTCCACGTACCCCAGCCACAGAGGGACTTTGCAGGCCAGCAGCAGAAGGAACATGGATGGGGGCTGGCGGGCCGAAAAGGAGAATGAGACGTGGAGGATGGAGGACAGAAAGAGGTGAAAAGGACCAAGGAGCCCAAAGGGAGAAAGAGGGAATTGGGAGCGCCTAGGGCCGGCGCCCGAGCGGGGTCCAGAGGAGCCCTTACTTTGCTCTTCACCTCGACGATGCTGTCGGGACTGCGCCCCGGAGTCCTCTGCGGCCTGGCCATGGCGGGGCCGGGCGGGCCGGGGACGCTGCCCCAAGCAGCCCGCGGAGGCGCAGGTGCACTGCTCGGCCGGCCCGCCCGCGCCTCCCCGCCCCTGGCTGTAGCAGTGGCCCCGCCCTCCCATCCGGACCTTGACGTCAAGGGGGCCGTGACACGGAGCAAACGCGTAGCCCGCGTCTCCTAGGAAACGGAGATGGGGGTGGGGAAAAGCGCTCTCTGCTCTTACGTCATTACGCTACGATTCGTGTGCCCGGGGAATCTGAAGGAGCGACTCGGCCAATCAGAGGGGCGAATGAAGGAAGTGACATTTATTGAGCGTTGTCTGTGTATTTTTCCGGTCAAAATATACAAGGTTGTGCCGGGCGTGGTGGCGCACGCCTGTAATCCCAGCACTGGGGAGGCTGAGACAGGAGGATTGCTGTGAGTTCGAGGCCAGCCTAGGCTACAAAGTGAGCTTAACGCTAGCCTGAACTGCATAAGACCCTGCCTCAAAAAAAAAAAAAAAAAAAAAAAAAAAAAAATATATATATATATATATATATATATATATACACAAGGTTGTGTGTTTTGTAGATGAGAAGGCAGAGTCATAATAAATGTTTGCTGACTCCCTCAGGCTTATACTCCGGCCTTGGATCCCTCTCCAGATCTGCGATAGCCCTTGGCTCCTTCCTGGAGCCACGGGAGTCTTGAACTGCCCAAGAGCCAGGATGCTTTTGGGGGGGGCGCTGGTACCGGGAATCGAACTAAGGACCTTGCGCTTGCCAGGCGGACGCTGCGCCGCTGAGCTATATCCCCGGCCAAATGCCCCGGCAAAAATAATCTGCCAGCAACCAGCCCACAGAGTAGGTACCTGCACACGCCTAAGTTTCCTCATGCGCACGCGCAGCGAGTACTGGGCGGGGCCTGGGCCAGGGTACCCGCCCAACGTCACGCGTTTCCTCTTCCGGCAGGAGGCCGGGCGGCAGCGCGCGCGGGAAACCTCCGCCAGCTGCTTTCCGCTAGGTCCCGCCGCGGGAAGCGCAGGTATGGAGACTCTGGTTTTGCGGCCTTGGATTCGAGAGTTGATCCTTCGGTCAGAGGCACTCTCAAGTCCACAAGCTGGGCAGCTGCTTAAGGTAAGCCCCATCTCTTGGTCCAGAGACCTGGGCGGGGGCGGGGGCCGGGATGATGAGATTGACGTCGCTCGCCGCGGTCAGGTGTTGCAGGACGTGGTGACCCCAGGCCCATCCCACGCCCCTGACATCCTTGACGGCGGAGCCATGCTGCTTGTGTCCGACGGGACCCACAGTGTCCGATGCCTAGTGACGCAAGAGGCCCTGAGCACTTCAGAGTGGTGAGAGAGGTGCCGCCCGGGGGACGGGGTAGAGCACAGCTGGAGAGGGCGAGGGCGTGTTTGAGCCCGAGGTGGGCGGGGTCTGTGTCCTGGGCCTGAGGGTCGAACTCCCCCTGCAGGGAGGAGAAGGAGTTTGGGTTCACTGGAGCCGAGGGCCGGCTGCTCCTGCTGCAAGTCTGTGAGGTTCGCATACAGATCGCTGATCGTGGTTCGGTGAGTGCTGAGGCTGGTGTGGGCCGGTTACGGGGCCTAGGTCTTCTCCACAGTTTTTGAGTCCTGCCTTCTCACCTGCCTTCTCAGCCTGCGGAGTTCTACCTCCAGGTGGACCGCTTCAACCTGCTGCCCACGGAGCAGCCCCGGGTACCCGTGACCGGTTGGTAAGTGGTGGGGCCAAATGCTCCGGGTGTAGCTTAGTGGGAGAGCACTTTACACCTGGAGGCCCAGGCTTCAGTCCCCAGCACAGGGAGAGGGACATACCTCCACCTTCTATCTGCCTGCTCTCTCCACCCAGCAGGAGGCCTACCTGGTGTTAGCATAGGCATTTGAGTGGAGGGCTTAGGTTCCCAGTAACATTGACTGCCTGCTGTCCTCCTGTCTTCCCCAGCAACCAGGACTTTGATGTACAGAGGAAGCTCTATGACTGCCTTCAGTGAGTCTGGGCTTGGGCTCTGGGGCCAAGTGAGGTCTCTTTGAGGGGTGGCAGATCTGGGTAGACAGGCCCCGGGATTGTTCCTGAGGCCTGTCCACTCTGTTTCTGTAGGGACCACCTTTCAGAGTCCAACTCTTCCAATGCAGGTACTGGTAGGGGTTATCCAATGACCCTACCAAACTCCGTATGGAGTAACCTTTCCTGCCATCACCCCCTGCTTCCTCAGTAAGTACCTCTCCACATTCTATTTCTTTCTCGTTGAGCTTCAATCCACTGTCTGGTCCCCTGTCCCAGGCCTAACACTGTCCCAGCTTCTGGATGAGGTACAGGAGGACCAGGAGCATCGGGGGGCACTGGTTCGCCTGGCTGGGAGCTGCCTGACACTAGCAGGCCCTTGCCCAGACCCCCCCCTCACCCGCTGGGCTGCCGCTCGCTGCAGAGCCACAGTGGGTATGGGGCTTCCCTTGGGAAGTGTCAGGGTGAGGGGCTGGGCAAGGGCCAGGTTGAGAGTTCCTGTCCTATAGGAAGAAGCCCTGTACACTGTTCCCAGTTTATTGCTGCACATCTCTGAGACGGACCAGCAAATCCTGAACTCTCTGGGCTTAAGTCAGAGGGCACAGGGTAAGGAGAACTGGATAAGTCAGAGGGAAGTTCCTGGGGCCCAGGAGCCACAGTACTGATGAACCACTCTGGAAACCCCAGACTGTGAGCTGACCCCACCACAGTGGGCTCTGCAGGACTCCTCTCTGACCTGACCTCCTCCATACCGAGTTACTCAGGGGAGGTAGTGCTCAGGCCGGAAACACTGCGGTCAGTCAACTCAGCCTATGCAGGATGCTGTGAAATGGTTGCAGTGGGTGGGGCGGACACAGACCTTACAGCTGCTCTGAGCTGACAGGGCTGTGCCCACAGTGTGTCCCCTCTTCCTCAGGAGCTCCTGCCTTACCTGGGCATGAGCCGCTGGAAGACAGCAGTGCCAGCATCAGCCTTCTGCCTGCCGTACCCTTGGCTGCTCCAGACCCAGTGCAGAGGGATCGCTCCCAGCTCTCACCAATCATCTGCTTAGCCCCTGGACCCCTGCTCCCCAATTCCCCACACCGTAGTCAGACACCCAACTCTCCACATCTGAGCTGCACCCCTAGTCTCCAGTCCCTTGGCCCAGCCCTGAGTCCACATCAGGCTCATAATACCAGGCCCCGGAAGCTTGCCCTGGAGTTCAAGGAGCAAGGTTCAACCCCTAACAACCAGCAGCCTTCTCCAAGGACCAGAACCAAGAGAGCCCAGGAGTCTTGTGCTGTCTGGGTGAGCACTGCTCCTGTACAGCCGGAGAGGAGAATGGGGCCAGGCCTTGGATAGAGCTGAAAGGGGAGTGGGGATAGCCTTGGATGGGGTTAGGGATCCTTGTTGGTCCCTCCCCAGACACCATGCCTCTTTCAGGATCCCCCAAAAACGCACTGTGATGGTTCCGCCTTCCAATATGAGTATGAGCCACCTTGTGCTTCCCTCTGTGCCCAAGTCCAAGCTGCTAGGTGAGTACCCAGGGCTACTCCTTCTCTGTTGCTACCAGTCCCAGGCCACCTTGACCTGAAACCATGGTTTCTTCCCAGGTTACCTCCCCAGCTTGTGGCCTGGGCTTTGCACCTTCTGATGGAGCCAGAGTCAAGGTCTGAGCTAACTCAGGTGTGAAGGATCGTGCAGGCATATTGGAGGATGTGCACACAGCTCCAGATGGGGACAAACAGCACCCCACACTCTGCTTCCTTCAAGTTTTTTAATAAAATAATCTCATGCGGCAGGAGAGGAGAGGATCAAGGGTTGGGGCCGCCGCCTCTTTGGTCTGTGGCTGGGGAGGGTGGGCTCTGCTCAGGGCTGGAGGGCTCTGTGGGCCGTGGGGGCAGAGGCTCGGTTCCAAGGCCAGATCCTGTGAGGGAAAGGGAGAAGGGCTGAGGGCTGTGCTGAGCAGTCCTTTCCCCCTCCCAGCTGGTTCTGGCCGCCTCTTACCTAGGCTTGGGGATGGTGGTGCCTCGAGCTTCGGTCTGCGCTTGAGGACCGGGGAACGCTGCAGCCGCAGGGGCCGTTCTAAGGGGCACAGAAAGGCTTGCTGTCTGTCCATCTTCCACCCCTCTCCTCACCTCCAGTGCATGCAAGAGTGCGTACACACTACTGCCCTCAGCTGCCCTTTCCCCTGCTGTCTCCACCCCTGGCAGAAGTGACTTTTTGGGGAGTGGAGCCAGGGTGAGTAGGAGGGGCTTTTCAGGCCTTTGCTCCTGGCCTTCTGGCTGATTTCTGCAGCTGTCACAACCACTTGTGGCCCCCTCCGTGGACCAGAACCACATTGGAAGCCCAAGCACCCACCCTCCCCCATCTGCACTCAAGCACACACGGAGGTGTCTCCCTCACCAGCAGGGGCCTGGAGCTGGTCCTCATGCACAGACACTGCTCGTCGCCCTGCCGAAAGAGGCCTCGGCCTCAGCTGGCCATCTGGGGGAGGCCGGGGTATCAGGGTTTGCTCCCAACAGTTGCCCCCACCCTTGACTTGCAGCCCTTGGCTCCCACCTCCATGTCCCCAGGGAGGCAAGTTTCCAGCAGGCAGTCCTCCAGTCAGCCTGTGGTTGCAGTGGTGGGTGAAGTGCTTGCCTACCTTCATTCCTGGGGCCCAAGCAAGGGTCCTCTGGAAGGCCCAGGATGTCTGGGGCAGGGCTGGCTCTGCGGAGGTTTGGGCTGGGGCAAGGTGAGGGTGGGCCTGGACCATCCTGTTGGCCCCAACCACGGCCTCTCAGCTCTGCATTCAACTGCTGCCCCAGTGTCTTCCAGGTGGCGGACTCAGGCCCCTGGACCCCTGGGCCAGGTCTACATGAGGGATCTGCCAGGAGAAGAGTGTCAGCTAAGACCTGGGCCAAGCCTTGGAGATGGCAATGGTCTAGCTCTTTTTTTTTTTTTTTTTAAGACAGGGTTTTGCTATGTAGTTCAGCTGGCCTTGAGTCACTATGCAGCCCAGGCTGGCTTTGAACTTGAAATGCTTTTTCTTCCTCAGCCTCCCGAATCCTGGGATTATAGGCATGCACCACGATGCCCATTGACCCGCTCTTGTCTATCCCTGAACCTTCCCCGCACATAGTGGCCCTCACTCACCAGCAGACACGGAATGAGTTCGGGACTTGATTGAGATGGGCGGGGTCTCCGTGGAGCTGTCCATAATGTCTCCTGCAAGATGGGGCTGAGGACTCAGGCACCAGACCTTAGGGGTAAGGGGAAGAAAAACCTGGCCTTTCCCCCTCCCCTAGGAAAGCAAGTATGTTGGAGACCATCTTTAAGAACACCCCCTACATATACTGCCTTACCCCAGGGTCACACTTACCATCTGAGCCAGCTTTCTTGATTTCACCGTCTTTGCTCTGTAGGAAACAAGGCAGTAAAACCTCAGCCCTGCCTCCCTCGCCTTATCCTTTGGTTCACCCTTGTTATACTCCAGTCATAGATGCCCTCTACAAGGTAGGCAAGAACGTGGCAAACCCAGTCCCAGCCCCCTGAGCACTCACAGTCCGGGATGGCAGTTGGCAAACAAACATGCACGCATATCCATAGACACATCATGTTAGTTCTGCAGTGTGCTTCCCACACCAGTGTTTCTAAATGTGGAGAGGTCTCGCTGCTTATGTGTACTATCTGAAAAGCTATTAAGTAGATGATACACAGGGCTGTGGTTCTTAACAGAGATTGTGATCTGAGTGACATTAGCAGGATGGCCATAGAAGAGAATATGAAGGCCCACAGGGCACTGCTGAGATGGCTAAGGAGGAACCTGGTGTAACCCATGATGAGACTGGATGCAGAATGGAGAGGGTCTGAGATGCCCCAAAGGAGGAGAGCAGGAAGTGGCCAGGACCAAGTTCCCATGGAACCTTGTAGCAGCAGGATTGGAAGTGTGAGCAGCTTTAAAACCCCTGGACTGTACAGGGGACAAGGTCAGATTTCTGAAAGGACCTTCTCATGTCCTAGGAGGAGGTGTCAATGGCACAGGTCAAGAGGGAAAAAAGTTAAATCCCATGACTTTTGAGGAAGGGAGTGGAGCTGACAGATCTATGTGTACTGTGAGTCTCCTCCTTCCTGGTCACATGTCATCTGTGTCACCTACAGATTACCACATGCCACCTCACTTTACACTTGACCCCCAAACTCACTTGCTTCCTCTTGCCCTCGGCACTCCCACCGCCCCGGCTCACGCCGATCCTCTGCAGCATAACTTGTACCCGCTGTTCAAAGGATGGGGCCATCTCTGTGTCTCCCCGTTCCAGGGGCCGCCGCTGGGGAAAGAGAGGGCTGAGTCAAGAGAGAGCCCCTTCCCTGGGTTCCCAAAGAATCCTCGTGCTGGTCAGCAGCCCTCACCTTGTCGGGTCTGGCATTCAGTGTGTCCTCCTCCTCAGCAGGCAGCAGTATCATTGAATAGGCCTTGCTTTCCCGTGTGTACCGAGGCCGGCTTCTGCGGGCAGGGTCAGGGCTGCTAGGGCCTCCCTCAGCCCCGCCAGGCTCCTCACCTCGGCCAGGACGGGCTGGAGGCCGCAGCAGGTCCCCAAGTGTTGTTTTCCGGGCGCGGGCAGCTACACCAAGGCTGGTCTCTAGATCAGGCCGGGGACCCCGTGTTGAACGAGGCTTCTTAAAGGCAAAGAGGGTGCCCAACTTCTTTCGAAGTGTACGGGGAACAGGAGAGGCACCCGCTTCGGTGGCAGGGTCCTCCTCCTCAGGGGCCCAACTGTAGGAACAACCAGCAGTGAGTGAGGAAGCCCATGGGCATCCCACCCTCTCCCACCCCAGGCAGCTGCCCCTCACTCACAGGCGATCCTGCTGGATCAGCCTTTTGGAGAAGAATTCCTCCACGCCCTCGTCCACGCGGGCACTGAGCCCATTCCCTTCCTGCGGCAGGGCTGGGGGAACCTGGGCAATACCATGAGGTCAAGGGTCAGGGTTGAGTGCAACTGTGGCTTCCCCCTGCTCCCCTGTCCAGCAGCCTGGTGTGGTAACAGCAGGACCTCAGAGCTGCGTTAGCCCTAAGGGGCGGCTGATACCAGCTCTCCCACTGTCCAGTGCTGGGCAGAGGTGCTGGGTTTCACACACGCCCTTCCATTGCTGCCCTGGCATACAATCAGCCCACACTCGTTCCTGTTCCACGAGAGAACTGAAGCCTGGCCCACCAGCAGGCTACAGCACCCATGTGTCCCCGGGGTCACACGTTCCACCTGCCAATCCCTCTGCTCCCAGCAGTTCCCTGCAGTACCCCCACCCCCACCCCCACCCCTCCGGGCCTGCTGCCGGCTGCTGCGTCAGACCCTCGGGGCCTCCGCCCGCTCCTCCTCGACTTCCGCCAGTGCCCACTGCCCCCGCCAGTTCCCAGCCCACACACACATCTCTCCACACATACACCCGCTGGCCACACAGCAGACGCAGGAGTGTCCCCGAGGCCCTGGGGAAGGAGGGCAGGACGGACACCCTTCCACATCTACTCAGGCAGAGGGACATTCTGAGGAGTCCTCCACCCAGCCCCCCCAAACCCGCACACCCGTGGCCCCACATAGGCATGGCCTGGGGTGGAGGGTGGTCAGGACGCGGCCGCATGACCAAATGGCCTTGGGCCCCTACAACCAGCCTCCCTGCCCGTGCGGAGCGACCCAACCACTCGCGACCCCCAAGTCCACGAGCTCCGGCATGGGGGGAGGGCTCTCACCTGGGGGCCCCCCGGCGGCGGGCGGTGGTGGTGCTGGCGGCGTGGCCGCGGCCGGG